CTTAGGTGTTCCACTTTCATATCTCAAGAGAGGCCGATTTAAGTATTGGGACGCTAATCGCAAAGTCGGCAGTTCAAACCCACCAGCCTGTAGGACAAAGATGAGGCTGTCTGCTTCTATAAAGATGGCGAGCCGACGTGAGTGGGAATCCCTCCTGCAGCAGTGGCAGAAGGGCTAGACAAACACTTCTTCATTAACATATCGAGAGCCTGTTCCTAAATGAGATTGCAGACCCAGTGATGGGGGTTAGAGTTTGTAACTCATGGTTCTGAAGGGCACATTTCAGTGCAAACTGTGAACTAATCTGTGCTGATTTCTGTCATCTCTCTTGGTTCTGACCTCCATGCTGTTGGCAGCATCTGTCTCCGTGTAACTTCCTAGGCAAGAGTCTGTGGAGAGGAAGCTGTCTGCCTTTCTGTATGTGACGATATCTTTATAATCTTTATAATAGTTGAATGTAATTTTGTAGCTTTTAAGGCATTTTTCTGTTCGGTGGAAGCCTGATTCACTTACCTTTGTGATGGACTTGATTTCATTTCCTGATGATGATTCTCTTTGTCTTTGGCATTTCTTCTTTTTTTAAAAATCATTTTATTGGGGGCTCGTACAACTCTTATCACCATCCATCCATCCATTGTGTCAAGCACATGTGTACATTTGTTGCCCTCATCATTCTCAAAACATTTGCTTTCCACTTAGGCCCTTGGCATCAGCTCCTCATTTTTCCTCCTCCCTCCCGCTCCCCCCTTCCTCTTGGACCCTTGATAATTTATAAATTATTATTTTGTCTTATCTTACACTGCCCAACGTCTCTCTTCACCCACTTGTCTGCTGTCCGTCCCCCAGGGAGCAGGTCACATATAGACCCCTGTAATCGGTCCCCCCTTTCCAGCCTCCCTCCACGGTGTTTGTTCTTAGCTCACCGTTGCACCTGTGTGGACGTTTGGATACGTTCTCGCCATCAGGAGACTCATACGTTTTCATCTCCAGGAAGTTCTCTGCAATGGCGTCTTGATGATTTCCTTTCCCTCTTCTTTGTTGTGTATATTCAATTTTATCTGTGCATGTGTGTGTACTCCTTATTTGTGGTAACTTCTGTTTGCTAGACGTTGGACCTGTTGGATAGATTCTGACTCTCACAGAGTCTCTCTGGCCATCCGTCTCTAAGAGACTTCCTTCAGCCAGCCCCCCACCCCCAGCCCCGGTCGATCTGTTCTCTACCAATGGCCATGGCAGTGGTCAATCCATCATGCTTTCCAGCACCTGCCAGTCCCTGTCAGGAGGGCATGCGTTTCGCTCCCTGAGAACCTGGACAAGCTTGTGATTGTTCCCGCAGAGTCACGTGAAGTGCCTGTACGTCCGCTTCTGTCTGTCTGTTTCTGTTGCTCTCCCAGAATGCGTCCCCTGGGAACCCAGCCCCCGTGCTGTGAGAAAGCCCAGGACAGCCAGAGACACCACGCCACCTGTAGGTGCTTCGACCTTCAGCCCCAGCTCATCTCTGCGATGACAGCAGCCACCAACTGACATGTGAGCGAGGGAACGGAGAGAATTCGGTCCTCGGCTGGGGCCAACTCGAGCAGGGATGAGCCATCTCTGCTGACCGTGCCTCTGCTGTCGTTAGAAGAGCACAAGAAAGATCACTGTTGGAGACCCTTGGGCTTGTTGTGTCCCTAAAATCTTTATTTTGGCAATTACATCTTTAAAATAATTTGAGCTGTAATTTGCACGTACATATTTTAAGTGTGCCGTGTGATCCACTCTGACAAATGCGTAGACTGGTGTGACCCACTAACCACACACAGCCTGTGTAACCTTTCTTTGTGAAGACAAACACGGTAGACCTGAGGGAACAAACAAGGTGGAGGGCTTTAGGTGATGAGTCAAAAGAGATCTGCAGGATCTTGGCTATCATGGAAATATGACGAGAGGCCATTTGAGATGGTATTCTTTTAAGAAACCTTTTTAAATATTTTGGAATTTACACAGAAAAGTTATGAAAACAGTCTTGAGGTCCTGTATCCCCAGCATGCTTGTTTCCAGTTTCCGACAGGCTGCAGTGTTGTTGTTAAGGGCCCTCAAGTCGGTTCTGACTCAACAGCGACCCCTGTGGACAACCAGACAAAACAGCGCGTGCGCCCTCCTCACAATGGATGTTGTGTGTGAGCTCGTGGTCCCAGCCACGTGTGGCTCCACCCAGTTAATGGAGGATTCCCCTCTTCCGCCTCTTTTTTACTAAGCCTCCACTTTACCAAGCACTTTCATTCTTCCCCGCTAGCTCCATCATCCAAACGCGCCATGTATTTCCATCATGCCTTGCTAGCACCATAATTCAGATGCATCCATTCCCCTTGGTCTTTGTGTTATTCCCGGTAGACTAGAGAAACAAATCCAGGGAGACTCATATGTGTATAAGATAGAGCAAGCTATACAAGAGCAATTGAATACTGAGGAAGCATCCCAGCCCAGTCCTGATCAAATCCATAAGTCTGATATTAGCCCATTTGTCCAATACCAATCTATAAAGTCCTCTTCAGACTCATAAAACACATGCAATGACGCCAAATACAGGAAGATCACAGGCCAGTGAGGGGGAAGTCTTGTGGATTCAGTGGTGGCGGAAGCATCTCCAGGCTGGCAGGGGTTTCCATGAGACTGCTCCAGCTCAGGGCACTAGCATAGTTCCATGTATCTTGTCAGCTCCAGTGTCTTCCAGGGAGTGAGCAGAGAGAGGTACAGAGAAAGAGTCAGTCTCGCACCTCCAAGGAGGAAGACAGGAGTTCCCAGTATCCTCAGGAGAAGGCCTTTCCCACACAGAGGCCTCATTGGCTCTGACCTGATTGACAGGCTAGACTCCACCCCTTGACTTTTAATGCTCTCAAATTGACAAATGATTATATAACCACCAGTCTTCCTTGTTCATTGCCCAGCTCCATATGCATATGAGCCAATTGAAAACTATGTGGCATCTGCCCGGGTATCACTTAGTCCTCAAGGCGACAACTCTGCTCGTTAGTACTTTGGACAGATTTTGTACAGCAAATCTGCCCAATGCAATATGTCAGTTATCACAGGTGGTGAACCAATATTGATGTCATACTATGAATGGGATTCTGTCCTTTATTTAGACTTTCTTAGTTTTTATTCATTGCCCTTTACCTGTTCTGGGACCCCATCCAAAGTACCACTTTGCACTTGTTTTTATCCATGGGTTTCTCTCAGCTCTGGAAGTAGGGATAATGTGTCTGTAAGTCTGGACTTAAGGCACAGGGCCAGGTTGTGTGCCGCAGTTTTGAAGACCTCCATTGTACTTTCAGGCTAAGAAGTGGGTTGGGTTCAATAAAGCACCTATGGTAATTTCATGAGAATGGTGAGAATCTTTTAAGATTTTTATTTTATTTAAATTTTATTGAGGGCTCTTACAGCTCTTGTAACAATCCATAAGTCAATGATATCAAGGACATTTGTACATATGTTGCCACCCTCATTTTCTAGACATTTCCTTTCTATTGAGCCCTTGGTGTCAGCCCTTCTCCCCTCCTCCCCCCACCCACGTGACTCCTTGATAAATTATTTTCATTTTTTTCCCCAAGAACTCACACTAAGCATGGTTTTCCTGAGAGCATTTTGAATAAAAAAACCCCAAATGGACCACTTTCTTCAACATCAGTGGTCTCGCTGTGTCTGACTTCTGGTCCCAGCCAATACAGCCAGGTGATCAATGGAACATTCAGAACATTTGATCAGAAGGTCTCACTATTGGGGGAGAAAAATTATTAATTTTTCTCCAGAGGCACTGTGTGCATATATTTTGGGACTTCATGTACAATAACCATTGTACCTGAATATTATATATATATTTCTCCTTAGAGGGAAATGACTAGATTTCCCTGCCCCCAAAGGAGCCACTTATTAGAATTTTATGTTTTATGATTTACTTGGTTATTGTTTTATTTTATTTTGTTCTAGAGTTTTAATTTTAAATAATGTTTCTTTTAGTAATGCATTATTTAGTTTTGTTCCATTTTGATCTTTGGCCTTTATATAAATGATTCATCCTATATGTTTTCTTTTGAGCCTTACTTTTAAAATAAACAGGATGTGAAAGATACTTGTATTGTAGATGTAACTAAAGTTCTGTAATCTTCAATCCTGTGTAGTATTCTGTTGTGCGAATCTATGGCTTGCTTTTGTTTCCTGTTCATGCCCGATGGTTTTCCCTGTGAACAACACCAAACTGGGTACTTTTGTGCCCAGCTCCTTATAAATGTGCATCAGTTGCTCTCAGGTTTATCCACCAGAACTGAATCAGTAGTTGAGTAGCTTCAGCTTTTCTAAATAATAAATCAAATTTAGCTTAATTAGCGCTGCCAGTCAGCTCTTGGTGCTTTATTACAGCGTGGGCACGGCGATCATAGCAAACTCTTTTCCAAGTGGTTCACCCAGGGTCACTGCCAGCAGCAGCACGTTGGCATTCTCCTGCTTCATATAATCAAAACCCATGATTATCAGGTGATAAGATTTGGCCTGTCTATTCGGTATGAGAACATACCTTGTTTAGTAAACTTTCATTTTGTTGAGCACAATGAGACCAGGGTATTTTCCTGTGGTCCGTGACCACTCATATGGAACGAAAAGATAATCATCGTATTGTGCCCATACAAAAGAAAGGTGACCCAACAGATTGCTCAAATCGCTGCTATCACATGCAAGTAAAATTTAGCAGAAGATCGTCCAACACAGTCGCAGCAGTACATTGACAGGGAGCTGCCCAGCGGTTCAGGCTGGATTCAGAAGGGAACATGGAACAAGGCATATCATTGCTAATGTCAGTTGGATCTTGGCTCGAACAGAGAATGCCAAAATAATGTTTAGTTGTGTTTTATTGCTTGCGCAGAGGCACGCAACTGTTTGGATCACCTCTAACCATGATAGCTTTGAGAAGAATGGGAACCGAAGCATCTTTCATCGTGCGCACTAGAACCTGCACACGGATCAAGAAAGAGGCAGTTACACGAATGAACGAGGTAATGCTGCACGGCTTCAAAGCAGGAAAGGGGAGGGGCAGGGTGGTAGCCTCTCACCATACTTATCCAGTCTACACTGAGCACGTAATCAGAGAGGCTGGGTTACATGGAGAAGAATGGCATCCGGATTGGAGGAAGGCTTATTAACAATCTGTGGCATGCTGATGACATAACTTTGCTTCCTGAAAGTGAGGAGGACCTGAAGTACGTGCTGTTGAAGATCAAGGATTGCAGCCTGCAGCATGGATTATAACTCAATGTCAAGAAGACCAAAATCCTCACAACTGGACCAATAGGTAGCATCACGATAAATAGAGAAAAGATTGGAGTTGTCAAGGATTTTGTCTTGCTTGGATCCACAATCAATGCTCCTCCAAGCAGCAGCTGAAAGATCAGACAAGCTGCATTGAGTCAGTCTGCTGCGAGAGACCCTTGTAGAGTATTGAAGAGCACACCTAAGGACTAAGGTGTGCCTGACCCCAGCCTTGTTAATTTCAATTGCTTTGTGTGCCTATGAAAACTGGACATTGAATAAGGAAGACAGAAGAATTGATGTGCTCTTTGGATTGTGGTGCTGGGGAAAGATCTCGAAAGAAACATGGACTGCCGAAAGGACAAACAGGTCTCTCTTGGAACAACTGTGAACAGAGTGCCCCTTAGAGGCAAGGATGACAAGACTTGTCTCAAGGACTCTGGCCACGTGGCAAGGACAGAGAAGCCTCTGGAGAAGGACATTGTGCTTGGTCAAGTGGAGGGGCAGTGAGACAGAGGAAGGCCCTCGACGAGGTGGATCACCACAGTGGCTGCAACAGTGGGCTCTTGGGCGTAGACAAGCGTGGCGCGGGACTGGACAGTGCGCCCTTCTGTTGCATCTTGGGTCTTCTGGTTGGCACCCGACCACCACACCTTATTTGCACGATCCCACCCAGCCATTTGGTGGGAATTAAAGGGAAAGGGATGGAAGAGGCGTATTGCGGTGTTTCGCTTCGCTGCCATTGGATTTGGGCAAACATGAGTAATGCTGCCATGAACATTTGTGAACTTTTGTGCATATTTAAGTTTTCAGGTCATTGGTGGAACCTATGGGAACAACTCTCACTTTTCGAGGCACTAATCACCAGAGCAGCTGTCCTATTTCCCATCTGGCAGCAGTGTGTGAGGGTTCCGCCCCCGCCCGCCCATCGTTCTCATCAGCACTTGCTTATTTTGTTGCTTGTTGATTATAGCTATCATCCTGGTGGGTGAGAAGGAGCCCTACTGGCCTAAGCCTCCTTGTGTAGTGGGTTATTTGTTGGGCTTCTAACCACAAGGTCACCAGTTGCTCCTTGGGAGAAAAATGATGCTTTCTACTCTTGTTTAGGTTCAAGTATCGAAAACCCACAGGGGAGGTTCTGCACTCTGCCCTGTAGGGTCACAGTGACCACGTGGCAGTGAATTTGGTGTGGTGGGTGGGAAGAAGAAGCACAATACGGACCCTTTTATAAGATTGCAAAATGTGTGAAACCACTGCCTGTTTGATGATCTTTTTGGTCTTACACGGGAGCTCACCAGGTAGGCATTGTATTTGGTGAAGGGAAGAGACAAGTATAGAATGTTCGGGGTTTTTCCTCTCTCTGCGAAGTTCATAGTCCACAAATGTAGATCGGAGTCATGTTTATTTTTACGTTCAGAAACTATGTGGTAAAGAGGTCATACATGCCAGTGGTCTCTTGGCCAGGCCAGAGCAAAGTCTGTAATTTTGGCCTGTTCAGCGGCAGTGAGCAGCTTCCTATAGAGCAGCTGTGATAGATAGATGACACTCAGGTGAGACATAGTCCCGTTGGGTGCACTGCCTTGTTCTGTGGTGTTTCCTGCTGCTCCCCCCCATCTTGCATGGAGATGTGAATGAGAGAACAATGTTTTGGGGGAATAACCTTTATTAAAGCAAGCCATTCAAGCATCTGGGGATTGAGCTGCGTCTCCCTCTCCCAGTATGTGTGTCATTCCTCACCCAGCTGCCATGCTTGTGACACCCTGTGGGCTTCCAGTTGCCTGTCCCTTGGTGCCTTGAGTCCAGCTGAGCTAAGACATAAAAGAGGTGAAAGCAAACAAGCTAATAGCTGAGATGCGGCAGGGGTGGGGGAGGGTGTGCCAAACCTCAGGAAGATGTCCAGCAGCCACTCAGAAGAGATAAGCCCCTTCCTCCAGAGCCCACAGAGAGGAGCGCCGTGACCTAGCGCTGGTCCCCGGATTCCCACCTCCAGCCGCCTCCACAGCGGGAGCACATTTCTGTTTGACAAAGCCACCCACCTGCCGCCTTTCCGTGGTTCACACCTCATCGCAGGAGCTGTATGAGGCTGTGTGTTGAATAGCCATGCAGAGGCAGTGTCAACCTTGGATGATAACCTGGCCATCTATACCCTGGGATGTCCTGATGCTCTCCCATCTGCAGCTGTCGTCCTATCCCTGGAGCGGAAAGGGCTGTCCCGGGCTTGGTAGTGGGGCCCGAGCACAGCCCTGCTGGGTTTGCTGGTGATGCTGTGTCCCTCGCCTGCTCCACAGGGCAGTGTCCATGTTGCTCAGACTGCATGGGAGGCAGTTAATGGATTTGTCCCTCAGTGGCGTGTAGTTTGGAAGTAATTCCCTCAGCTGTGCATCCAGGGCCCTGCATGCATCCACTCAAGGGCACTTAAAAATAACAGCAGAACAAAGGGAATGGGATAGGTGAAATTTACACACACACACACACACACACACACACACACACACACACAGCTGCAGACAGAGGGGGTACGGGTGTATCCACCAGCATGCTAGACCCTTGGATGTGAATGAGTGCTTTTGAGTTAAATTAGGAAGGGATCACCACTCTTATTTGCATTAGTGCTTCTGATAATCATAACTATGTGTAAAATAATGAGTGAATGACTACATGGATGAATTTTTATTGTAAAATAAATTTATAGTATAACTTAAAATGGTCTTAATAACTGAAGTCAACAAAATGTGATGAGCAGGGATTGGGGATGCTACTTCAGGTGGCTAGTCTGGGCAGCTTCTAGCGATGTGACACTTAGGAAGTGTGTGCTGAGATAATGGACTGTTGTATGGTCCTGGGCAGCCGGGGTAAGGGAGGCGCTAGCCTCTGTGTGCAAATGGGCTTGAGGTGTGAGGTCAGTGGGCCTTGATGTGGTCAGTGAGAGAAAGAGTGGTAGAAGGCCTGGCTCTTTCAGACCAGAGGAAGGATTCAAAGTTGTTAGCTGCCAACAACAAGTTAAGACTTCATTCAGTTATTTAATGATGGGCAGCCTACTAGGCTATCTTAAAACTGGGCGATTGATATGCTCAGGTGACTCGGGCTACTGTGTGGTAACTGAGCTGCCGAGGCAAGGGAGGAAACCGAGGGGGCGAGGGGTGGGGGTGGGTGGGTGGGTGGAGGTGGCTCTCAGGAGTGGGCGTCTCAGCGAGGAGCTCCGGTGGAGCACTGGATGAAGGGCTTGGCTGCTCACCAACCAACCCCTCCGTGGGAGGAAGATGCGATTGTCTGCTTCGGAAAACATCACAGCTTTGGAAACTCTGCAGGAAAGTTTTCTCCTCTGCTCTTTAAGACAGCGTGACAACATTGACCAGGCAAGGACTAACGGCAGCTGTGTAATTGGAGAATTGGGAGACCAGGGGATGAATCTGAGGTATAAATTGAATACTGAGCTAAAAAGACCCAGAGATGCACCATAAGGGGCTGCTTGTATGTTTAGGGGAGAAGTTGGAAGGAGAAAATCCGAACTCCCTTTTGGCTATTGTAAGTTGCTTTTAGACATTCCAGTGAGAAGGTTACCATGCAGGTGAGTGTGAACGTCTGAAGCTCAGTGGAAAGGTCAAGACTGACGTGACGATTTGAGGTGACAAGCTCAGAGCCGCAGAACAGGAAGAGTTCCCTAACAGGAGGAGCTCTGCACTCTATCACTTGAAGACGTTGGATTGGACGGTCCCTGCTGCTCTATAGATCAGACCTGGTGTCTCTGTGAGAGATGGAGTTTCCCCTAAAACGCTTTTTGGCTTTCCAAACCTTGAAATAGATGATGAATGAGGATGAAATACAGGCATTTAAGTATTCCATCCTGGTATTCATTCCAAAATTGCTTGTTCACAAAGCATGATATGTAATTGAAATAAAATATACATTTAAAAGCAAAAGTAATTTAAATAACACCATAACACTTTCGGCTAAAGCCAAATGATGGTCCATGTGAATTCATTTTCATGAAAAAAAAAATTTTAACAGCTCTATTGAAATGTGATTGACCCACAATAAATTAAGCCTATTGAAAGTACACGACTCGATGAGTTTTGCCGTGTACCCAATCCGTGAGACTGCCACCACAATAACAATACTGAGCATATCCAGCACCCCTCCCTGCCAGGTTTCCCCCTGCCCCTTTCCTGCCTCTCCGAGCTTCTTGCAGGCCTCCCTCCCCTGGCAGCCCGGCAGCCACTGATGTCCTTGCCATGGTGGACTCGTCTGCTTCCCTGTATAAACAGGGTCATATTATAGGGTACTCTTCTTGTTCCTCGCGGCTTCTCTCACTCAGAATGGTCATTTTGAGATCCGTGGGGGTGGGGATAGCTAATTCTCCTTTGTTGCTTGTAGCATCCCATTATATCGCAGGAGAAAGCCCAGAGGAGCCTTTCTACCCCTGTCTCGGAAACCCGCGGGGCAGTTCCACCCTGTCCTAGAGGGAATGGCCTTGCCGGCAGGGAGAGCTCCAGTTCTGTGGATGTCCCAGGACTCGTTCTTCTACTCAGTGTGGGTATGAGGCTGCTATGAGCAGAAGTTTTTAGCTCAGACACCACGTGGCCATGTAGAACCGCCCCACACAGCTTTCTAGGCTGTAACCTCTGCGGGAACAAGTTGCCTCAACTTTCTCCTGAAAGTGACCGGGTGGGTTCGAACTGCCAACCCAGTGGAGTTGCTTACTTGTGCCAGTAGACCACTCTTAAACTGTTCTTTCAGCATATCTTCA